GGTCATTTGTTTGTTCATACATGTTCCAATCTGGAGAAAACTGTGGCTCTGTTTTGCATTTTAGAAATTTTAGAAACGTATCGCAGGTGGACATTTGGCTATAAAATTATAAAGAGTTCATCCATGTCTGAGTGCCTTCTCTCTCATCCTGATACAATATGTTGTTAAAAGCTTCAGTACATGAGCATATCCGTGTGTCCTCACATTGTGACACCTGACAGACCTTTCCTGAAGGTGGAAGGTGAGGCGGGGCCTTTTTACTGCAATAAACACAGCATACACACACTGTGGCATAAGATGGCTTTGTAAATGGTCACCTGTTACAGATTAAAGGGCACCAGGGAGAAGCAGTGAAAGAAAGCAAAATGATGATTTAGATGAAAGTGCAAAAACAAGAGAAAACATAACATCTCTAGATCTGGGCATCCATGCTTATGTGTTATTACCCATAAATTCATTCAACCTTTATTTAGACAGGTAAATCCCATTGAGCGTTGAGGACTCATTTACAAGAGAGACCTGATTTAACAAAGAATGATGACAACAATGGACAACAGCAACAACAACAAACAGTCACAAAAAGTCATACAGATTTTATTTTATTTTTTACTAATAGGTTGGCAAAAAAAGAAAAGCAACATAAAAACAGCTAGATTCTAAGGCAAATGTAGGAAACTAAAAACAGGAACATGTCTGCATTGGTCCATGCCAGGATTCCAGCAGATTCTTAAAGCCACTTAGAGAGGTCAAGGTCGAGAGCTTCAAATCTTTTTACAAGATATTCCAGGAAACAGGAGCGGAGTAGGAGAAGGCCCTTTTGCCTAGTTCAGTCCTCACTCAAGGAACACTGCAGGTAATAATGTCCTGAGAGCGCACGCTGTAGCTGCACTCATGCAGAGACATGTAGGAGGAGATGTATGAAGGCAGCAGACCAAGAAGTGATTTAAAGATGAAAATGTACCAGTGAGAGAGTCTGTGTGAAGTTAATGATGTCCAGTTAACCAGTGAATACTGGGTGCAGTGGTGGGTATGATAATCACAGCCAGTTATGAATCTTAGTGCACCATGATAGACAGCATCCAACATCTGCAGGGTTCTTGTAGGAGCATTCATGTAAATAATGTCACCGTAATCAATGGAGGGAAGGAAGGTCACAGATACAAGGTGTTTCCTAACATTCAGGGTTAGACAGGATCTGTTTCTGAAAAAGAAACCCAGTTTAACTTTCAGTTTCTTTACCAAGTTTTCCACATGAAGCTTAAAAGAGAGATGCGAGTCGACCAAGATACCCAAATATTTATAGGAATCAACAAACTCAATGGGGACACGATTTGAGGATAAAATCTGAGGAAGATCTGCTGGGACCAACTTCCTATTTGAAAAAGCATCCCTTTGGTTTTGTTGGCATTTAGGACAAGTTTGTGGTGGAACAAATCTGTCTGGATGATGTTAAATGCAGATTTCAAAAGCTGGAAAGCCTTAGCAACAGTTTTAGCTCGACAATAAACAACTGTGTCATCAGCATAGAAATGTATGGATGCATTAGGGATGTTTTTACCTACATTATGTATGTAGATTGTAAAGAGGGTGGGTCCTAAGACTGAGCCTTGTGGTACACCATTAACTGTTAAATAACTGGAGGAAGTACCATTATGTTGAACACATTGCCTCCGGTCTGAGTGATATTTAGAGAACCAACCAATGGTGTGTTCTGAGAAACCAATTTCTGAGAGTTTATGACACAAGATGTTATGATCCACAGTGTCAAAAGCTTTAGACAGGTCTAAGAAAAGTGCAGCACAATAATCCTTAGCATCCAGTGCTTCAACAACATCATTAAGAACCTTCAGTGAAGCAGTGGTTGTGCTGTGTTGTTTCCTGAAACCAGATTGATGTGGAGGTAAGATGTTAAATGAGTCCAGGTAATTTTTTATTTGAAATAATAGCTAACTTCTAATTTAATGCTCTTCTTGGGAGAAAATGAAAGATTTCATAGAGTCCCTGCTCTGTGACAGTGTTCACCATGTGGCTGGTCATCTCCTTCTACAAGGCAGATACGTCTAAATTCAATCCACAACCCTATTTCCCCTCTTTTGGCTCAGGAAGCTTCAAAGGTTTCCCTCTGTGACCGTTTTCTTCTCATCAATCATCAAACATACTTCTGTTAAAAACTCTTTAATAACCATGTGCCCTCGTGAAAAAGAAGCATGCAGGAATTTGAGCAAACATTATACAAGTCTGCATCTGCATGGTTAGAATGGTTTGTGAGTCATAATTTGAGTGTGTGTGTGTGCGTGCGCGTGCGCGTGCGTGCGTGCGTGCGTGCGTGTGTGTGTGTGTGTGTGTGTGTGTGTGTGTAAGTAATTGGGGGGGCAGCATGTCTGCTTGTTGACATTCCTCAAATCGAAAAGGCTGATCGTGGTGTGTTAATGGACTGGGAGAGGCCCAGCATCCTTGTTGACTTTCTCACAGTTAGAGACTAAATTAATAAACCCCCAGCAGAGCACGTGTGCATGCAAATGTTTGTTTGTACCCAGGCTGATGTGCCACTGAGGGTCAAAGCTTGCTGAGGGATTTGGATGTCCAGGCCACTCTTAAGTGCAAAAAGACCAACTTCTCTCACATGTGCATTGCATTTCAGTTCAATTTCCACCCTCTCACGTGCAAACATGAGCACACACATGCACACATTCCAGAGGTTGTCTCGGTGGAATGCAGGACAGAGTTATGCTGGCACCAGAGAAAGTGTGACTCTGCTGCCGCTGCATCAGTTATTAGTCAATCTTATTAAGTTATTAACAATCTTAACAAACCAGTTCGGGTTTATGTTATGGCATGATGACTTGCTGTAGGTGATTTTTGTTTGTTTGTTTGTAGACCTGTCACGATAACAAATGTTGCTGGGCAATTAATCATCTCAGAAATTATTGCAATAAACGATAATATTGTTTGAAATTTGACAATAATTAGTAATTGTTGTCAAATTTAAGAAGAAATGTTGGTTAATTTGTTTTGCATCCAGTACCTTCTTTCAACCACTGGATGGCAGTATAAGACTGAACTGAAAGATGGATAGTGAGGGAACGAGCAGCATGTTTCTTTAAGAAAAATGGGAGGGAGGCCCCTTGACATGACATGGGCTGTCTCTCGTTGGTTCTCAAAATGGCAGATGCTCGGTGTGGTTTGAGCTCTTTAGCATTTTTCACACAAAGCTTTTAATAAAATTCAGTAAACAAGTTCTCAGCTTCTTTTTGCTGAGAAAAACAACTTTTTACACGAAGGCACAGGTTTCAACTATGAATTTTGGAGCTTCGACAAGACGGAGGTTTTTTTTTCCCCGAGGTCAGCCTGTTAGCTTAGCTTGTAGCTTAGCTTCTCAGCTTAGCTGCTTTTAACGATCTAAAAACGTGATTTTTGACGGTTAAAACAGATTTTAAAAAGAAAGGGAGGGGTCAGTGAAGAACACCGGAGTTGATCCTTTTGTCATCCAGTGTCTTC